ATTCCTTTTCGTATATGTTTTGGGCAAAATTGTTTTCGAAAACATAGTATATGCTTCACGTACTGTTTTTTTGAGGTCATGAGTACAGGACAAACCTGATAACTGGCGATGATTGTGGACAGTAGGTTCTTTATTAAAACATTTAATAAAAATCTATGTATTCATGCTAGACGTGTGGTTTAAAAGTTCCGTCTACATCGGCTCGTTGCTTTGTATTCATTCCGACCATTATATGCACTACATCTAGCAAAGAGAGTTTTTTTATCCACAGGGTTAATAGAGAGTGAAATATGTCTGAAGTTAGGGCACAAAATCTCCCACAGCAGAGATACGATTTATTATTTTTACCCTTAAAAACTTTGGTAGATTTTGCTAAGCTTCTTCAACGTGACCTCTGTTAAGAGAGGCATTTTAAAGTATGCATTTCGCATTCGTGGGAGTAAATGGCGTTCTAAACCTTTCTTTCTATATATGGAAAGTCGATTGGCACAATATCAACCCTGCACTTATATTTTCAGATGATGCCGAGAACAGGAAATTTGCTTCTTAAAACACATGTAATCTGATAATAAAAATATATATATTTATCGAAACCACTCGAACACACTTAATACTCCATCCACTTTATATTCTCACCTTTGCTTGCCTATGGAAATATCGAGCTAACCTAACTAACTACAAAATCTGCGGCACGGACGAATAAAGGATTATCTAAACGTAATGACGCTTTGCAAGATAACTTGAGTGCAAAAACCATGCCATAGTGTGCCAAATCAAATTTGCAAGAAAAACAGAGGATAGCCTGAAATAGTTTAAAAAAGTAAGTTTGGGTTTTTTAGCGAATGAAGCCAAATGTGATTATGGAGGGCTCGTAAGTGCCCACGTAGGCAAATGGGAAATAGATGGCACTGTGCTATCAGAAGACATCTACCGCTCCATGGGAGTAACCCTTCACACCATTGCGTGCAACCGGCTAGGATGTAGCCTTTCGTTCTTCATTGTTGGCATCTCCAAGAACTTAGAACTCATAAACTGTGGGACATTTTTCCAACTAAAATAATGGACGCTTAAATTCCAGGCAAAAAGTCGCCACTTACGAATATTTTACTAGTGTACAAAAAGCAACCGCGTTCAAATATCTCAAGGTGACCGTGCACCAATCAGTGAATGTTCTTATTTATTTCTATTTCGCAAGCAGTTACCATGCGGACGACGAAGGTGTCGAGGGCAGTGGCAAGAATTACTACAACTACTGGTAGACGATCTACTGTGATTGTCATAATTTTGAGGTTCGTGGACTAACGCGCTGTCAGCCACCAGGTGCATCTCCTATATTCAGAAGCTAGTGGGATCCAGGCAAAGACAGATAACTCCAAGCATGCGACACTGACGAAAATAAAATCGTACTCGTCAACTTTGTGCAAAACTTCTAGTAAGTGCCGCCCACAAAATCCAACGATATGAATGCACATGCTTTATAGTTTAAGTTATTGTGGATATAAAATGTCAGCTGACTTTTTCGCGTTCATAACTACCCAAAATGCTTATTTTGACTAACACACCAATTTACTTAATGCATTTGTATTCAGAACTAATGTTATGATCATCGCATGCCTGCGTATTTTTGATTAAACGCTATAAGAAGGACAGATACTGCTCTCAGACGCTGTAGATTTTTTGACAGCGTTCTGCTCTTCGTTCTGGTGGCGAAATATTTATAGGTGTCGTATAAACAAACATTTTGTTTTCAAAATGTTCTTCGTGGATTTCGTCTTGGTAACCGTTGTTTAAAACAAACCACCTGTCCACTCAAAAATCCGTAGATTAAGTAGTAATGCAAACGGTAGAATGCGAATTTCACTTACGGTTGAATGTGGGTTCTTTTCTCAATGGACGTCCTCCTCATCACCTAAGGTCCAATTGGATGATATTTCAACTGCGCCAGATAAACTGACTGACGAGTGAGATCGGCACTATACAACCGCCAACGAGTAGTATAAAATTTGGAGGTGTGGAATGAAGTGGCAGCGTCTACAGCGTAAGTTAAGAATGAGGTAATGTCTGGTTCCATATCCTCGAAGTCTGATAGAGGTCCATTCAAACCCTGATTTTTCTTACAGTTCACTGTTTTTGTCCTGAAACATCAACCGTCAGGCAGAAAGGCCGTCCAGAACGGCGACAGAACGGCTGTTTTTGAGTCTTCACATGGTGGAGATCAAAGCTACTCGCAGAAGAGCAACATTGCATGGCTTCCGTACTATTTGCATCGCTTTGAGGTTAAGTCGACAAAATTAACACGGGTAGTCTGGTGGGAACATATTGCCCTGCAAATGCTCTATGTTATAAAACCCTAGAGTTTGCAAAATTCATTTTTCATGTTAGCGCCGCAAATGTGTAACGACCTACTTGTTCGTCATTTAATTATTCTAAATTGTCTATCACTTCATGCTGGAATATGATCTATTCAAAGCGATATTTAATGCATCCCAAAATTCCATGTAATTTGCAGCATTTACTTATGTATACCAATCTGTTATCTCATCTACAGGAACAGTCGATCTTGGTCACACTCTCGGCAATGGAGCCACCAACTGCGTTGCTCAGGCCACATGAAAAATGAAGAAGAGTTAAAGCTGTCTGACTTCAAAAGCAGCTTTGCAGAAAGTAATTAAACGCGGGTATTTTGGAAGAGTTTAGGCAGAAATCAAGATTAAAAAGATGACAGTCGAAGGCTATAGGTAGCATCATTTCAAAGGAAATATTCAATCCATCGCAGTTTTATTAATCATAGCTGGGGAAATTCTTACCATACAAAGTCGCCTGCCGATAAGTGCCGAAAATTCCCCGGGAGTCAGTTTGGGGTATTAAGCGTCGTGGATAAAACTTGTTCTTTCTATTTTTTCATGTACACAGCAAAATCAACTAATATTTTTTGAAAGCGACAGTTTTACAGTTTTGAAATAAACAGAGCTCATTTGGATTCGTCATAAATTATTTGAACAGGAGGCTTTTTACGCAAATAGAAATATAAAGAAATGTAGGACCTTGTTAAGCGCCCGTGGGACTTCGCTAATGCGCTGCGAGGGCAGCTGCTCATTTGCTTTCTTCTCTCGTGGCTACAGCATCAGTAGCAGATTACTAGAAGTTGGTATTTAGGCGAGCTTGTAGTCGAAAAGAAAAGCCCACTTGCATCAAGTTATGCTATCACTCGTAGGACATTTAAAACTTCGGCTTGTCAAGCCTCATACATTAAATTAGAGACATGCCAATTCCTTTACCATTTGTACGTCAGCTGCCTCTCCATAGAATGAGTTATAAAATGACCAACCCGGTGAACAAATGCTTGCATATAAGACGAAATTTGGTGCATCAAATGCTGAAAAAGTGTAGCATATTTAGGAATGCTGGAACTTGCTGTTTCTGATGAAAAGGCTGTTGGGCTGTGCAATTAAGATCTAACGCCCATAAAATTTACCATTTAACCACATTCCATTATTTTTAAACTACAGACAAACTAGAATGCCATGCTTTCTGCACTACCCTAACAGCTGGTTAATTTTAAGCACCTGGCCAAGTAATATTCAATATTCCATATCGTTTGGCTTTTGACGGTGTCTGACAAAAATGTTTTGAGAATGATGAGCTCCCGTTTCATCGCGTTTTCCTTTTAATTAGCAAGAACATGTAAAATCACTTTTTTAAAGCACGCTTGTGAGGCAATATACCTTGATGGATATTTGGTTTTAATCCATTTTAAAAGAAAATTCAAAAATATTTCAACGTTATGCTAAAACGAATAAAACAATCATCAGTATTAGACATTGATTGTTTTCTCGTATTTTTTTCGAAAGTACATAAAAGTTAGGTTTTTTTTATCAGGAAATGTACATCTGACGACCATTTTAGATCAGGCCTTTTGCACCCACTGAAGAACACCATCTAATGCGGCTGTATCTGACACTCGGGACAACATCAATATTGGCAAACTTGCAGATGCCCTAAACCAAAATACTGGTCAGAATGAGTTTAGGCGCTAGTTATCCGGCCACGCAGAGTTTGCGGAAGCCCATAACTACGACCACAAATCGGGGTATAGTTGCGCGCATGGGCACAGACTTCACGCCGTGCCAGTCCTTGGGTCCAAACCCAAAACCAGGTGGCCGACTGGCTCAGACAGCCGACGGGTAAACCCGAAATGGAAGAACAAATGAGGGCACATCTGGGAAATCCACACCCCGACATCTCACTGCATCCCCCAGTATCATAAATACGGTGCACCTTCATCTATCACGACGCGTCGTGAGCCGTGGTTTAGAAAACCGCTATCTAAGGTGGAAACCCGGTCCTTCTAAATGCTGGGTATAAAGTTACAATGCATCCTTCTGTTTGTTAGCGTCACGGCATTTGCAATTAGGGGACATCTTTGTGGCTCGATTTTATGAAACCTGGTGGATTTTCAGGCCTACCATGTTGTGTGTGCCGCTCGTGGACAAGTTTTTAGCTCTACTGAACACTGCGCCAGAGTCCGTCTTCGACCCTCTTGACGATGTTCTGCGATCCCCTCGAGGTGGGAGAGGCACAATAGAGTGCGGCGGATGGTGTTCAAGTCTACTATAACTTTAAACAAACTTAGCCGCAGGGAAATGTTGTGCGCCTGTCGAGCCGTGGCACACGGTGGACAACATTGTTCGCGATTATCGAAATGTCGGACAGCATTAGAACCGATTGGACGAAAAATCGGTTTGAAGCCAATAATGTAAACTCCGATACAAGCGAAAATGCGAGTTCCAGGAACTAGTTGATCAGAAGAAGAAGCGATCGCTGGAACAATGGCTTTATTCGCCTGACGTTTCGGATTCTCTCTTGAATCCATCATCAGAGACAGTTGCAGAAAAGGGTGGCTAGTGTACAGGCAGTCGCAGTATTCGGACACCACGGTCTGTTCGTCAACGCAATTCCTGGAGAAGCTTAAAGGAGTAAGTCTCTTGCCCAATGAGGTCATGGTATCTTTTGATGTCACGTCCCTCTTTACTTCTATCCCCCAGGATCTGGCAATCGAGACCGTCCAGCTACTCCTACGAAACAAATACGATGAAACGGAGAATCCTCTCGGACATGCCCAAGTCCTTCAGCTCCTAAAGTTCTGTCTCAGGACGTACTTCACGTTTGACGGAACAATCTACGAGCAAGTGAAGGGAACACCGATGGGCTCGCCGATTTCGGGATTCATTGCCGAGGCGGTGCTACAGCGGTTGGAGTCGCTGGTCTTCCAACACCACAGACCGAAATTCTGGGCTCGGTATGTGGACGATACCTTCGTCGTCATCGAACGGGATCAGGTGCTAACGTTCAAAGAACGTCTCAACAGCGTCTTCCCGGACATACAATTCACGATGGAGGAGGAAGAGAATAACCAGCTGGCATTCCTTGATGTCCTCGTCTGTCGCAAAGATTGTGGTGGCCTAAAGACCAAAGTGTTCAGAAAAGCAACGAACACGACGCAAATTCTGAACTTCAACAGTAACCACCCAATCTGCCACAAACGCAGTTGCGTAAGAACGCTATTTCGGCGTGTTGAAATGCATTGCAGTGAACCGGAAGACAAGGTTGCCGAATCCCAATATCTTCGACGGGTTTTCCGAGAAAACGGTTACCCGCGCAACTTCGTCAACCAGTGCTTGCGCAAACGAGACGAGCGACAAAATCGCGCCGACCCCAAATTCTGGCGAGCGATCCCGTACATCAAGAACGTCTCCGAGGCCGTTAGCCGCCTTCTTGCACCACTTGGGGTTGGAGTTGCGCACAGACCGGAGGCCACCATGAGGCGTCAAGTGATGAGACCAAAAGACCCACTGCCACGGCAAGAAACATCTGGAGTCGTTTACCGGATCTGGTGCAGTTGCGGACAAAGCAACTACGTCGGAGAAACTGGAAGACTGCTCCGGACGCGAATTGCCGAACACGTTGCAGCTGTACGGAGAAATGACGCCAACTCTCAGGTCGCGGCCCATTCGACGAGACCCGGCCACACATTCAAGTTCGATGAGGCCGAAATTCTCGCGAGAGGGGATAATCGCGTGAGCCGCGAGTTGCTTGAGTCATGGTTCACGGGACCTCAGTCTATCAACAAGTGCAATGACATCCCCACTCCATATTCAGTCCTGAGGCATAGACTGGCCAAAGCAATTGACCACTCGAGGAGCGCGCAAGCACGTGAGCCAGATGGCCGAGCAATCATCTCGCCAGCATCCAACACGGGTGATGAGATGTCAGCAATTAACAATTTGCATGCCGGCCATCAAGCAATTAGCGCACCTGCGGGCAACAATCCTTGATGAAGGGAGCACGGTTAATTGCTGTAGGTATGCGGTAGCATGGCGACCGCATCCTATAAATACTGCGACTGCCTGTACACTAGCCACCCTTTTCTGCAACTGTCTCTGATGATGGATTCAAGAGAGAATCCGAAACGTCAGGCGAATAAAGCCATTGTTCCAGCGATCGCTTCTTCTTCTGATCAATGTAAACTCCTCTTACACATAAGTCTCTCTCCTTCACTATCAACTTGACGAGATAATACATCCGCAATTCTAAAAGCAAAGGCTTTTGGCCGCTTACCAGACTAAGTATTAGTCATCGATTTTATTTTGTTGTCGGTAGCAACGTATTTCCCAGTTTTCTAATGTGAAATTCATATCATTTTCAATTTAGCGATAGGACGAGATGTGCCATCTGAACAAACAATCTAAGCAGCTTTGGTTCACTCATTCAAAGTGTACGAAACGTTAACTCCTCTCCCCCGGCTTGTATATTTGTTGTTCCTCCACTTTATAAATTAGGGCCTTACCCGACCACTGCATTTCATATTTAACAAATAGTAAATAAGTTTCCCACTCTCGTATTCAGCAGACTCTTTCTTGATATTTATTTGAACTGGCGGCCATAAAAAGGTCAGGCCAGCAGGTACATAAACTGTTTTTCCGTAACCGTTTTAATCACAGAATGTTAAAAAGCAACACCAATTGCAGCCTTAGAAACACGTCCTAGGCGGGATTTTCAACAATTATTTTTTCCTAACATGAAAAAATATTCAGCTTATATTTGTAGAAGAACCATCAGTTCCTCCTTTATTATTATGCAAAAAGTTGTCCATTGTTCATCTTTATTTATAAAAAAACAATCCAGTACGTCAACAGCTATTGTGCTCTCCGTCATGTACGTTAAAACATAAACGTCTACCATTTATATTTAAGTAACACAGTTTGCAAATAATAACACCGATTAATCATGTTGGTCGCTATGTTGGCTTGGTATCATGGAGGCAAAAAGTGTCAGTCAAATGTAAATGATGGAATTCGTACGTACAGACGCCATTAGTTTTGGGAGCAGTAAGGGCATTGAATGAGTCTAAATGACTTCTGTTAAAGCATAAAATTCATTTTCAGACATAATTGGGCATAATGTTGCGCATTATTCAGAGGGGCACATAAAGCGTAAATAGAAGACTGCTGCAATTGGTGAAATAAGAAACCTGCAGCTAGACACGCAGCTTCTTTAGCTGGGCACATTGCTGAACTACCTGCCTCTTCCAGTTCACAAGTTGAAAAGTGTCGGCCGTACCAGACTTATGAGACCGCTGCAGTCCCGTCAGCTAAGCCGAGGTTTGGGGAGTGCTATTCGTTCTCCTCACGTCGGAGTGTGTTTGTCCATCCCCGCATGAAATAAGCTTTCTGTTCCTTTGTAGTTGTTGTCCTTCCCCGGACTCATCAGACCCAAATGTCCCGTGTCATGGCAGCCGGCCTTTTAGCTTTTTGGCGTCGAAATCTTGCTTCGGATTTGTGCACAATTCAAACTCGGCGTGTTAGGTAGAGGAAAGGTTGATGGCGTCAAGCATTTGCTTGACGTACGGGTGCGTTCGGAAAATTACAGTTCGGCAAAATTTGATTTTCCGCATAGTATTTGCATGAACCGGTTGACGACGTTACGTGAGCAGTCGTTCGCCCTGCCCACCCGTCCACCGTACTGTAATTCAGCCACAGAACTTTCCGGTCTATTTCCGTGCGTTTCAACGCGCCGCAACAAGGCTTATATGCAAATGCGTTCGTGGATGACCGAATGCTTGAGGCTGAAGCTTATGACCTGTGTCGTTTCTGTCACCTATGTAAATACTCGATTCAGAAGAAAAGGTGGTGAGCGAAAGTTGTTTCCGATACCTTCTCGTCAGACCAGTACAGGTAAATGCGACGGGGTAAAGTGAGTGAAAATATCGATAAAAGTTAGTTTTTAAAATACAAATTAGACAAGAGCGGAAGGGCACAGAAAGTTGTATGTGTTTATTCAACCTCTGACAACGGCAAGCGCGGAGCCTGAACGGGGTTCTTCTGGGGGTATAGGGTCGGTTTAGTATTTGGATAGCCAGAACGTGATTTTTAACCTTTTTAAACGTCTAACAGCCTTTCATTGTTTATAAAAGCACTGGAACAAGCATCCACTCCGAAATAGTGAATAGTCTGGAAGTACCGATAGACTAAACAACTAGGAGAGGCTGACCGCAAGAAAAATATGGAAGGGCGAGTGCAGAGGAGCTCGAGTCGGCGTACGCGAGGAATTGAGTTGCAAATAAGTCATCACTAAAAGTATGTTTTGTGTGAAGTCGTCCCGTTTCGGTAGATGCCACTGAAAAATACTCACGTAGGAATGGTCACTTTCACATCGAGGACGGAAAAATATCTAACAGTACTTAACCTGGCATATCAAACCGGAACCACCCTTTCATGTTGCCGGTGTGAGTTTCGTCACAGCTTAAAGAGGGTCAATTTGCATGACTGGGGCGGGCTCCATTCCTGGGGCAGCCGCTCCATTCCCCCCGTTTCTCCGGCTTCGTTTTGTCGGTCGATGGCCGCGACAATCGTTGCCAGGCGCCTGACGAACGACCACCGCCGCCGGTTAGAACTAGGGCCCCTCCTGTCCAGCTGCGGTGACTCCCGGCTGCCCTCACAACCTATTA